GGTAAAAGAGTAGCCCAAGAGTTGGCGGTGGGTGGTGATGACTAGCTGCCTTCCCTCTAGTCTTACACTGCTAAATTAGGGACGGCTAGCGCAGATAGCCCTCGTGTAGCTTTGCGCGAAATTCAAAAACAAACAAACAATGAAACCGTAATAAATGTACGAGAGCATGAAAACGAAAATGTTTATCTATAAAACCTACTAGTCAGCAATATATAAATTGATTAAATTCTAGTTCAGTAAATTCAACAAATGCAAGAGAAATTTAAATATTAAAGTGATTTTTATTTTCCAGAAATAAACGTAATGCACAGAAATAATATTTGTATTGTATTCCTCGTTCTAAATACTTGCATTCTGTTTGAATTGAAAGTAAGTTACAGAAAACAAAGCATCAGGATAAGATATCAAATGCAGACCTTTGAAATAAAACAAATGGAATTTATTATTACAATATATGATTTTTTACATGGAATACCATAAGTGTGATTTTCCAATAAGGATGACATTGTTCAAAGAACATCAACCTTATATTTTCGTACACAACAATATTTGATGATCATACAAGTGTGTAAAACACAAGTAAACTGAAATTAAAACTGGAAACAAATACCAGTATATTATAACAGGCATTAAAATATAGTATACATACATAGAGAGAGATTAGAAAGCTTCATTGGAAAAAGTTTTGGAAACTAAACGTAGAAGTAGAAGCTTATGATTCTGTTAAATCGTAAATTATTGGTTTAGTTTACGAAACATTGAAAATAAGTATCCTACTCTTTAGTTATGTTTCATGTTAAAATTCAACCTGGAAATATTGCTCAAACTTCTTGAAAATGTTTTTCAAAGCTGTATAACAATTAGTCAGATATATTATATTAAAATTCAATCTAGAAATATTGCTCAGACTTCTTAAGATGTTTTTCAAAGCTATATAACAATTAGTCAGATATATCATATTAAAATTCAACCTATAAATATTGCTCAGACTTCTTGAAGATGTTTTTCAAAGCTATATAACAATTAGTCAGATATATCATATGTAGTCCATTATGTACGTAAAAAGCAACAAAATGGAGAATTTCTTAACGATACGGCTTAGTTATTACAAAATCCTTTTTTATATTCTATGATAAAACTAAAATGTGGACTAAAAACTTTAAAAAAGGAGATTTCTCTGAAGACAATGAGATTCGGTATAATTTATTTACGAATGGTTCCTTATTATTATTAATTTATCTTTATATGTATTTAAATGAGGTGAACAACATCGTCGACGAGACGTTGTGAATAAAAGAAAAGTGTTCACATCTTTTCACTCTTTTTCTAGGTTCACGTTCTACCCCCTTTCAATTCGCAGATTAAAATGGCCACCGAATAAAAAATATATTTGAATTTATATCAATGATATGTGTGATTTTAATAACTTACGATAGTCTAACGTTAACTAAAAAAAATCTTACAAATAAAAAAAAAATTATATAAAATAAGACAATTCGTGAAATGCCATATTACATGATTTCCAAACATATTTAAAATGCCTAAAACGTACACCTAAAGTTGGATTCAGGCGAGGGAAATGTAAAAGAAAAATTAAATATTTATTTTCTATGCACACTTCTTTGCATACGACTCCAGCTTCTATATTGGGGGCCCCATTCTGGAAAATTCAAGCTTGATAACTTTACAAACGCCCCAAAAAGAGGCCAGAACATCAACTCAAGATCCAGTTTTCAAACAAGTCTCCTTCATTTCAAGGTAAGAGTAAGTGTGAGAAAATCGTAAACAAGAGTAATAACATTTGTTTGAAACTCCATGTCATCCACGAGGGAGCGCTGTTACAACCATCTCCCGTACACGTGTAAACGCACGAACGATATTCACGATCATCACCTGGGCGACGAATATACTCACAGTAGTTGCCATGGTCACGAGACGAGCAAAAACGCTTGGTTCCTATTTCACCTAGAGAAAAAGAGAGAAACTACAACACGTACTAACCTAAGTCAGAAATCAGTTGAAATAATACCGGATTTAGGGTTTAAACTTATTAGAACATCTGACAGTAAATAGAAAACAAAAACAATCATCTGGATAGTATATTTTATGATTTGTACTATAATAAACTCAAATGGCTTCTGTTCGTGTGGACTGTACTGATGTTTCTTTGGGTTTCAAAATAAACGCATATTTGATAAATAAATTAGTAAATATCATGAAATAATTGGTTAGATTATAAATCTATAGGTAACCGATATGTTTTTCCTGCTCATTACCAGTCATAAACATCTGTGGACAAATATTTTCAAATACCGTGTGATAAATAATTGCAGTAATTTGAATTTCAGTATCGCTTAGAAATAAATCTGCTTTAATAATTATCTATTTGGGCTAATATAAATAAAATTTAACTGAAAACAATATCTTTATGAAACATTACTTAATTAAAAGAATTGACTTTTAACTAAGCTTTGAAAAAAATTTAAAGCTATCTTATGAAAGTCTTCAGAGCTACTGTTAAATTGCATATCTTATGGGTATCAAAAAATTAGGAACTAATGATTGCTGTTAGTATTTGAAAAGAAATCACTTGGCCGATACTATGATGTCTGTATAATTCATACCTTCATACATGCCTGTGGTCTTTATACAAAAGGTAGCTTCAAAAATGTCGTCACAAGACTCTGGTTCTAGCAGAGAGTAGTATTTTGTGAATTCTTCTGCACAATGCATGTCAATATTAGATTCACATCTATAACACTGGATAGCCCAAACTACAAGGAAAACAAAAGCAGACACAAAAATAAATTTAAAGAACCTATTACAGCCTCACAAACATCTAAAAAAATTTTAATTTAAACGTGAGATACAAACGTTTTGGGGCCCAGGTGGTCAGGGAGCTCGACTCGCTATCTGCGGGTTCGAATCCCCGTCCCACCAAACATGCTCATAGCTTCACCAAGCAGGTGAATTTCCACAAATTTCTAAGTGACTAAGTGAAATACAGTACACAGTTTACATTATCAAAACTGGGACTTGTATTTGTGAACTCTAAATGCAAATTTTATAATATGTTCTACACAACACAAACTGCTGTTATTAAGATTTCATTTACCAGATTTAGATTATTTTTTTTGTAAAGGCACAGGTTCAAGTGGTATATAATAGTAGTACAAACCCTACAAAAGTAATGTTCTCTAGTATCGGAATACCTCTGATAAAACTGATGTTGTCAATCTTATCGTGTACATTTTAGCTAAATTCTATGGAACTACAAACAGATTTGAAAAAACTATCAACAGGCAGATATCCGTTTTAAACATCAGCCATTACTTGCTTTCACTTTGAAACTTGGGAGATAAAAGACGAATATTAAAAAACTAAATCTTATATAAATTACATAAAAATTAAAAATAATGTTTATCTGGAAACAAAACTAAACGTCTAACTATCTATTTATAGCTAGCAGTCTTTACCCAGCGTGGCCAGGTGGTTAGGGCGCTCTACTCGCAATCTACGGATCACGGGTTCGAGTCCTCGTCACACCAAACATGCGCGCCCTTTCAGCCGTG